ATAATAATAATAATAATAATAATAAATAAAATACAGAAACAAATCCAAAATGCAGTTTCAAAACAAATTAATTCAAATTCAAAACTTCAAATTCATTTTCAATTTAGTGAAATACGTTTTCAAACCAATGCATTCATTTTCAAATTATGCACACACAGATTCAATCAGAACAACCCAAATTCAATTTCTGGCATAAGTTTCTTCCCATACGTTGGTTCCTGCTCAGATTTCCTGTTTGGTCATCATTGTAATCAGACTGAATCTTTTTTTTCTTCTTTTTGTTGTTCATAAAAAGTATATTCTCTTTTTCTGTCTTGGAAGCTGAAACATGAACCGAAAAAATATGAAGGTCAGCAAAAATGTTTATAATTAAAAACAAAATTACAATTTTAAAAAGCAATAAATCATTGTTAGGTAAAATACTTGATGTTGGAGCTTTCAGTACAACATACTGTACTGAATAAGAAAACAAAAAGTTGGTAATTTAACAGTCTGATGCTGGGTCACAGTTGCCTCCATCCTGGGTAGCGGTGTCATTGCCAGTGCTGCTGTCAGCCTCAGTTACATTGTTCTGGCTGTGGTCAGCATGGTCACAGCTCTCACTGTGTTGATCACGATTCAGCTGCGCATATTCCACTGACACCTGTTGAAACATACCAGAAAGACTCAAATGAACATAAAAACAAACAAAATGCTCCTAGTGGTGGCTGAAGGAACAAAATGCTCCTAGTGGTGGCTCAAGCATTGACTGAAGGCAGCAGTCTTATCTAACAGCATGGACCAGCTTTGAATAATGAAAACTTTGTGAATATTAGCAAAAATATGTCAGCATCATCAATCTCTGAATCAGAAATGTAATAATGAACATCYAAGGAAACTGCATTTTTTTGTGGTTTTTAAAAATGAAGTCTCTGACTGCAATGGAAGAAACAGGAATGGAAGAAAGAACACATCTTTAAGCGTTAAGCTTGGCAGATTGATCATGCTTTGGTTTTATGTTTTAGCCAGGGGCAAATGCTATATTTCACTGAAAGAGTCAGGATAGTAGACAAGTAAATACCATCAAGATGAAAGCAAACATGACTTTGTTTTTAAAGGAGTTTGAAAATAATTAAGAAGGCTTCTTCACCTGAAACTTTACATATGTTAAGCTAAAAATAACTAGATGAAAACTCAAGGCCCGAGGGCCAAATGCATTCCACCACAGCTTTTTATGTGGCCCATGAGATCTTCAAAGATATATTAATGTCTTATAATAAACACATGCCGTTATAAAGCCAGCTTTGATCTTAAACTACATCTCACAACAATTATTTTACCTGTGAAACAATGGCATCTCACCACTATATCAAAAGGAGCCTGCAACTGGCAGCCAGAGAAATTCACATTTTTTTATTTAGTTGTACTGGGAAGTGGGAATTTCCCACTTACAGTTGTAAATGTAAACTAGACCAGCCCTCCAGTTGGAATTCCATGTTGGAAAGTGGAAGAAATCAAGCTACTCACCACAACTCAACGGTGAGTAAATCTCTTTTACTTTTACTTTAAATAGTATTTCTGTATTTTTTATTTCACATTTAGTCGGTTGTACACCGAGGACACTGAAGAGGAAGTCTGTTTCTATGCATGAAATAACATAAAGTTTGTTAGCTGTAGCAATGAGATGAGGAATGTGATGTTTTGTGTTTAGTYGAAGTTGAACATGAAACCTCAGCATCAAGTGGCCATTTGAGGGCAGCCATGATGCTCATGTGAACCTCAATGAAAATGAGATTGGCAACCCTTAGATTGTTCAATATCGAATCAAAAAGGTGTTCCAAAATAAATTATTCGTCTGTAAGATGTATCGCGTGTTAGAGAAAAATTGTAACAGACGCATGGGTTGTTAGTTTGTGCATTAATGGTGTAAGTGTAATCTTACTCACACCATCAGATGTCTCTGAAACACCTGCAATAAAGAAAACCAGGAAACCAGTTCAGGAAACAAAGTTGACGTAAGAAATCACTCAAACAATCATTTGTGTTGGATTTACTTAAACAAAATGTCAACAAGTTCTACTCAACTGAAGTGAGTAAATATAACATATTTTATGTTTATTTATAGGTGAATGTGATGTAAAAGTGTTATATTTACTCAATTCAGTTGAGTAGAACCTGTTAACATAATTTATTTAAGTAAACCCAACGCAAATCTTTGTTTAGCTTTCTATCACTATCATGTTTTAAAGTGCTAAATAATAATAAAAAAACGAATGTTAATCTTTATTTGTGCAGTATGATTGTGTTAAATCAACATATCCAACAAAATATCATGACAAAACAATGAGCAACAGTCGTCCCATGAGAATGAAACAATCAGTGTTTGATTCAGGCTGAGTGGACTCGCAGACTGTTTGACTCTTTTGTTACAACAGGAAGTGCTCTTTGACGAAAGCAGGAAGTGGACACCTGGCAGCTCGGCCTTCTCTTTCAATGGGACATTCTTTCACTAACAATGAAATGYTTGCAGTTGGAGTTAATCCTGTTTCCTGTACGTTTTTTAATGAACTGATTTTTTTAAAATATTGAAGACTACGATGAYAGTCCTACCTTGAATGGAGAGGCGTACTTCGTTGTTCACGGTGTCTGGTCCCTGCTTCACTGGAGCTGGGATGAATTAAGAGAGTCAGACCATTTTTAGGGTCAAACAATGAAACCTCTTTTCCAGAAATATAAAAACCTAGGAGCAGTCTCACCCCCGTTTGGATCTGGATCTGTGGTTTGCACCTCAGTGTTTTGAGGTTCCTGTTTCTCTTGGTTGACCGTGCTGACCTGATCATCGGATTCTGCAGCACAATGTTTTTATGATGAACATTTTTTGAGCTTTTAAACACGACTATACCAGTTTTGTAAAGAAAAAAAAAAGAATTATTCAAATAGTGAACTTTTTAAACAAAAATGATGAAGAAGCTAACAAAATTGTTAGTGTGAGCAAAAAATAGTAATAATAGGAACTAGCTAAAAAGAAAAATAACTCAACTAATAAACAGAAGTTTATTTTTTGTTGACATTAAATAGTAGACAATTTAATGTTTACTAAGATAAACATAGTCCTTATGGGTTAAACATCTATTTTGGAGAAAGTTCCAATAATATCTATTAATTAAATATTATTTGCTTTAAAAATACAGATTTAGATTTTTTTGTAAAGGTTATGAACAATTAATATCTTACCTGCTGTAGATCTTTGAATCACCTCAGTTTGATAAAATTTTTGACTTTGGCCTTGACCTCACTTGAACCCCCATTWAGCTCAACAATTTGATCAAATAAAACTCTGCTTCTCCAAACTGAGGTCATTCAAGAAGTATCCACAACAAGTGACATATTCATTTTTCGTAAGCAATTTTTTTCTCAGATGTTTCTTTTTAGCTTAAAAATTGACTAAACAATAACAACTGAAAAGATGGAGGCACTTYACCCACCAGAGCCTGATACGTGATCACTCCAAACACTTTTTCCCATCATGCTCGGGGTGGCTGCGTGAAGAAGTCAAAAAAAAAAAATCAGTCATGTTTCCTGATGAATCACGTGAATTATTCTACAGTGTGACAGTGATATATTTAGATTTACCGTTAGAAACCTGTATGACTTCTGCCTGCGTAAGGCTCAGACGCTCTGTTTTGGTGCCGGCTGACTTCCTGAGTTAAAAACCAAGACAAAAACTAATCAACACAAGAGTGACCTACCTTCAAAGCAAATAATCAAACGCACAAGCAATACTACTTACACCGATAGTTTGCTTCTCACRCTGACAGTCCTATTCTTATAGTTAAGAAAACGTTTTCTGAAGGCAATCACAAGGATGAGGATCAGTATGAGCAGAAGGCAGACAATGATGATAAGAGCTTTCTTCCATCCAGCCATGTTTACTGCAGACAACATTTAGACAGGACTTATCGATGACGTTACATGAAATACAGGAATAAAAACTGATCAAAACCTCAAACCTTAAAATGTCCACCTAATCAAGTTTTAAAAACTTATATTCAGCCAAAAGGTCTTTTTGATCTTGTTTTGAGACTG